GCATTCGGCAGAAGTTCCAGCGACATCTGGAGCCACAGGGGCGCAGGGAGTCCCAAAGGGCGCGGAAACATCAGAGCCGCAGGGAGGCTTAAAGTCGTCACCTCCACCGGGGCGAGAAGCGCCAGGGACGCCCCCACAGAAAGACAATTTAACGCCAGTTGACGCCAATGGAGGAAACAGAGCAGGGGAAGACGGACAGCTGAATAACGTGGCGGGCACTGCTGATCCCAGCCAGCAGCAGCGTGAGGGAGAGACGCAGAGTGGCCCGCAGGGAACACAAACAACACCAGAAGCAGCGACTTCACCGACAGCCTCGAAAAATGATCTCTCACAGTCCCAGGCGCAGGAGCCCCGAGGTGAGCCGGGCGCCAGCACGCAATTGAGCGGCGGAGAAGCGGCAACTCTACCGGATGTCCCAACTAATGCAGCAGATGGAGGAGAGGAGAGAACAACGCAACTTTCTTCACCTGCAAGCCGCAAAGGTGACGCCGGCGGTCAGGACGGAAAAGCCACAGAGCAGGAAACCAACGGCATCACGGATTCCGATGCTGCAGGGAACCCAGACGGCCAACAGGGGGTTGCTGCCGCACGTGCAGCGGCGGGCACTGCAAATGAACCACCAGCAACAGAGTCCACCGCCACTGAGGCAAGGAACACCGCGACGACGACTGACGGTGACAGCGGCAGCAGCCCCGCGGTGCAGCCGCAGCCGGCAGGTTCCGTGGCGGCAGCCGAAGCTGGTCAGCCAGAACAAAAGGAGCAGCCCGCAGTGCCCACTTTCCTAAGCCAAGCGGAAAAGAGTGGTGAGAGAGGAGGAGAAGCCGCTCAGCCGGCAGCGGGGGCGGCTGCTCAAGCGGCGAACACCACTAACTCGACGAGTGCAGCGAAGGCGGCGCCCAGCGACAGTGACGGCAGCAGCAACGCGGCCTCGCACTCCGCCTCCCTTCTTGCGCTGCTTCTTCTGCTTGCGTGTGCGGCTGCCGCTGCGATGGTGGCCGCGTGAGGGACTGAGTGAGGGGGACAGAGGGCCGTGCATGCACATCTCGCCCTTCGTTGTTTCTTTCACGCCCTTTGTGTGTGTGTCCCTCTGCACGGACTCTCTCGCCCCTCGCCTCACCCCACGCGGCACACACATAATGTGCTCGTATATCTACACAACTCCACTCATGCAGGTTCGTCGGCTTTCTTTTTCTTTTGCCCCCGACGAGCCGCTGCCGTCCTGCTTGGCTGCATGGGTACAGCACCGTAACTGTTTTTGCCCTTTTTATTGTTTGTTTGTTTCCATTGCTTTCAGTGGGCGACCTCCCTTTCTTCCTTCCTGGACTGGGCTGCGCGGGAACAGAGAGAGAAAGTGTGTGTGTGTGCTGGTCGTCCCACGTGTTGCTGCGCGTCTCCACTGCTCGGTGGACGCGCCCCCACGCTTCGGCTTCACTTCACGGCTTTTTTTATTTCTCTGCTTGTGTTTGTGTGTTGTTTTTGGGTGCCCGCACACGTTTCACAGCCCGTGTGTGTACGATGCACTCTGCAAAGGAAGAGGGCAACTTTATTTTGGCTTCAATCGACTGTTTTTTTGTCCATTAATTCTGCCTGCTCAGCGCCGTGCGTGCGTGCGGAGGACGGGAGTAAATGCCCGGAGGCGGAGGCGCAAGAATCCGTCGTGCCGCGGCGCGGCGGGGATGTGTGGCTTTGCCTCCTCCTCCTCTTCGTGCCTGCAGCCGCCCTTCCCTCCTCCTCCTCCTCCTCTCATTCCTTCTTCCCACAGACAAGCGCTGCGCTACCACCACTGCAGCCATTCTCACCAAACTCAGGCACACACGCGCTTTTCTCACGCCATGCACCGCCGACTCCGCGCCGCGCCGTTTCTCCCACTGCTGCTGCTGCTCGTGATGCACTGCGCCGGCGGGTGCCGCGCCGCTGCGGGCCGCCGGGTGTTCGACGACATGGCGCCGAAGAGTTACTCGCCGCCGGCTGCGGTGGTGCGCGAGGTGCCGCGGAGGGGGCAGGGCGCGGCGCAGGCGTACACCGTCGCAGCGGCGGGAGGAAAGAGCAACGAGGGCTGGGCGCCCATCCGCATCGAGGTGTCCACGGAGGATCTGCAGCAGAAAACTCAGAAGATGGGGAAGAAGAGGTACTGCGCTGCTGATGGGGATCTGTGCGTGAACTATTTGGGGGAAACGTACTTGCAGAGCCGAGCACGTACTGACGGAGCAAAAGAGCAGTTGTACACGAAGAAGATTATTCCTGGGGCCGTCAAGCTGCACGCGGAGCGACTTCTCGTGCAGCCAGTGACTGAGAAAATTGAATTGCCGCGAGCTCCGACAGGACACTGCCAGCACTTTACAATTCCAACTGAGCACAAGCAAAAAGGGTGTGGCGGACGCCGACATGGTCCTCTACGCCGCTGCCGGGCCACTCGGTCATAACGTTCCGGCGTGGGCGGCTACGTGTGTCACG